CACCCCCTCCCCACTTTACCCACTGCAGTCTCTCTTTCTGACTGGATCCCAGCCCCCATCGCTCTCCCTCCCTCCCCTCACTCCTTCTCCTCAGCCCAGCTGCCTGTGGAGTTGGATGTGGTCCAGGAACAGGCAGATGGCTCTGTAATTAGAAGTGCATCTCTCCATTCCCTTTTCACTTCTCCCTGTTAAATCAAATTACAGAAAAAAAATCCCTTCTCTGGATTAGCATTCTTTGCATCATAGCCCCCATTCTTCTTCTCTTCCTGTATTCTGCCATATGCAACAGAATTGGAAGATTGGGAGGGGACAGACTAAGAGGTCAGCGCTGAATCTGGAAAAATTGGGCTTTCCTCGGGTCTGTCTTCAATCTGTGGAAATGGAGTACCGAGGAGCTCTGCAGGCAGTTTTGCAAAGAACTGTAGTCAGGTCTCGCCGCGGTTGTCAGTTGCGAGCCCCTCTAGAAGTCAACCATTACAGAAAGTGATGGCGCTAGTTTCCGAGAATGGCAGGCGTGTGCTTGCTTGGGTCTGTGCCTTGGCTCTTTATGTGGCACACACATGGTATGTGTGTGTGTGCGTGTCTTACTTGGGGAGGGCTGCTGGCCAGCATGTGTGATGTCACTGGGGTCCTGGGAGGAAGAGGAAGCGCTCGCTGTGCACCGGGATCTGAGCCTTAGCCGTGCCCAGCGTGCCATGGCCGCTGTGTTTTCCTCCACAGGCGAGGAGCCTGTGCGCAGACTCCCTCTCGCCATCTTGTGGCTCTTTGAAGCAAGTGTTAGTGTGTGGAGCCAAAATACTAAAAGCTGAGGCTCACCGTTAACTTCTCTCTCTGCTTGTTTAGGTGTATGCGTCCACATCTGGTGACGAATATGCTAGAGACAATGGAGGTTATCCTGGCGGTAAGCCCGGTACGGTCTACCCGGGCTCTTTCTACATGCAAGGTAGTAACTCATTTTACATTCCTTTTGGTGATCTAGTTTCTTGCATCACAAGGCTGAATTATTTTGTGCCGCTCGGTAGAAGACCTTTGGTCATCTACCGGCTACTCGGCCATGCTGGGCAACTCCCCTCACATTGGACCACCGGGCTCCTTTTCATCACTGAACCCCCAAGACAGGATGGTTGGTAGACCTTCATTTCTACATTCTATTTTCCACAAGATTAAACTGTTGCTTCTGAGAAATGCCGTCACATATACAGTCAATTTTTGGGACATGATTGTTTATGCCATATGGGGGGGGGGTCTAATATACGCTTTCCCTGCATATGTGCGCACAGAATTATCCACTGCACGGCAGCGAAGTTAATGGTTTCCACGCCGCCCCCACCACCTACAACCACACGCCTGCCATCAATGGGGAGGCCATCATGGGTAAGGAACAAATTATTATTATTATTATTTTAATGATTGTTTTATTGGGGGCTTTCAAACAGATCACCTGACTCGCTTGTATTTGTTGCAGCAGGCACCCGAGCCACAACGGCAGGCAGTTCTGGAGACGAAATCGGAAAGGCTCTTGCCTCGGTAAGCTCAGTATTTCACTAATATTGACAAAGTTCCACTTTGAATGTAACGAGTGAAAGTTGACTTTAACTCATGCCTCTGAAAGTCATATGTATATATAAAGTTGTGTTTTTTGTCAAAATATATTACTACAGATTTATCCGTCGGACCACAACAGTAATAACTTCTCCTCAGCTCCGTCTACTCCAGGGTCTCCTCAAGCTATTGCAGGTGAAGTGTAACTCTCCTACATTACATAAAATAATCATGTTGTACTTGAAGTATCTTCAAGCCCACATGAATGTTTCCTTTACTGTGATTCATAAATTATTCTGAATACACGGACGGACGGGGGTTTGGGGCGCTAAGAATAATTGTTTGAAATCCAGGCAAACCAAAATGTTGTTTACATCAGATATACCTCAACAGCTCCCCCTGGTGTAACATCAAATATGACTACTTTTCATCGTCCAAATGTTTCTCTGTGCAGGGGCTCAGTCCCAGTGGCAAAGACCAACCACGCCCAGTTTTGAAGGGCAACCACATGCACTGGTAATTAGATGTTTCATATCAGTGTCTTGTTATTATTTATTTTTATTTTTTTTTCCCTCGGTTTAAAAAAAAAAATGGGTACAATAACTTCAGACCACACTATATCTGCATGTATTTTTGTAGCAGAGTAAAATGGAGGACCGTTTGGAGGAGGCCATCCATGTGCTCCGGAACCACGCTGTAGGCCAAGGGCCCGGCTTAGATGGTGCCCACCCCGACATGCACAGCCTTCTGTCAGCAGTACACAACGGGGGTCTTGGATCCCTCTCTCCAGCTTTCCCAAATGCCAGCCTTGCTCTCAGCAACAGACATCCTGCTATGGTGAGACACCTACTGGCTTTTCCCATTGAGGTGTATCTTGACATGACTAAAGGAAAATCCATAGATCCATAGTTTATCACATACATAATGTTGATATATAGTAAAAAGTTTTGTTTTAAGGGAAATGTCTCTGTGCCACATAGTGTAGATTCAGATGAGCTAGTTGCTGAAGAAACAGACTGTTGGAGCTTACCAGTTGCAGTGTATTTTGCAGTTTGTATCCTCTTAATAGAAATCTTGTCAGTGTCGTTTCAAAAGGGTCAAGGAATGATGTAGTTACTTATGCCATCTGGTGGCCTTTTGCCAAACTGCAAGCAAATGGGACTTGGACAATCTTACATAATTTTCACTGATTTGCCGTTTCTACAGGAGCACTTTCAGTGTCATATCTTGTGACTTGGCCAGTTTGCGCTTCCACACATCTCCTTTACAGAACGCAGCATAACTATATTGTCATGTAATCTACTTTACAGTTAGATTCGGTACTCAGCATTACTTGTATTATGTGTTCATCCACGGTTTCAAGCGTGAGTGATTCCAACAGACACGTTCAATGCAATGTGGTTTTCCGCTTTTCTGCGTGACCATATTGACGTAGAAAACCGTGCGTGTTGAGCTGAGCTAAACCAGGTCCTCCGATTAGATGGATCAACATAGTATGTCTCCAAACAGTACCTAAAGAATGCAGTGGTGTAAGAATGTATTGTCAGACATCATAAAAACGTACGCTCGGGTAAGTTTTTTTTATTTACATACGGTATACTGACTGTAATTATGACTTTGCTACAGTTTTTTGCATCATTTAGTCCTGGTAGTCTATGGCGCATTCCAAGTTGGCATCCAAATTGGGTTTGTGTCGCTGGCATTGGCAAGATCGGGAACTGTTCTGTACAGTGGAAAAGTGGCACATGTGTCAGCGTAGATGCTTTCTCCACCTAACACAATTAAAGATTGCTGCCCATTGTCTATCTGTCAAACAGGGAGGGAAACACGAGGAGCCCACTGGCCTTCCGCCTAGCAGCACGCTTCTGCACGGTCATCACGCGTCCGGGTCCACGCCGTCAGTTGGCCAGCCAGAAGGCTTCAGTAGTGAGTTGGGCCCAAGCTACATTACTTGGTCGCAAAAAATGATGCAGCTCGAGGGGCCAACGCCTATCACCACCCGTGTGTGTGTGTGTGTGTGTGTGTGTGTGTGTGTGTGTGTGTGTGTGTGTGTGTGTGTGTGTGTGTGTGTGTGTGTTTGTTCTCCACAGGTCTTCCTGGTGGGATCACGCGCTCCACACACTCCTCCAGCAGCTCGGACATCAAAAGAGAAGATAAGGAGGATGATGAAAATTCGTCCACGGCAGACAAATCCGACGATGAAAAGAAAGAATCCAAAGCAGCACGCAGTCGAACAAGGTAGGTGGTTATCTTGCGTTCACACTCGTTTAAGAAATAAGATGGATTTTTCTTTCTTTCTTTTTTTTTTTTAAACAATCTAAAAGTTCCTCGTATCCGTCTCTCCTAAAGGGCGTCGTAAGTCATTTAAATCAAATCCTGTGTCGCCCTCGTTGGCAATGTTAGCCGTTTAATGCTGTTGACATCCCCCCCTTCCCTTTATGTCACAATTTTCAGAAAGGAGGCGTTGACCCTCCAGATGCTCTCTAGCCTTTCAGACCCGAAAGATGAGTAAGTTTCTCAAGTAGAAAATCCCTTTTTTGTGCTTTGTGGGCTCCTCCCTCACGTCCATGCAAAGCGCACTCGTACGGCTGCTGTCTCGTTGTAGTCTCTGAAGCTGCTTAAACATGAAGCGCCCGTCTTTCGGCTCGTACTGTGTGATGAACGAGCCATTTTAGTCTCATTGGATTAGAGATTATGAAACGTGTTGTCTTTTTTTAAATTTTTTTTTTTAATGTGGAGTTGATTTGTAAATTATAGCGTTTCAGATGCTGTATAACTCTTAAATGTGTCCAATGTGTGTTGCTGTAATCTGCACTGCTTCACCGGGTGCCTAATCTGGAAATCGGTGCAAAATGCGTAATTCTTTGTTTTGTTGAAACGTTCAGCGCCTTGAATGCGCCATCTCCTTCCAGTCAGGACAATGAAGACGATGAGGACCTCCCGCCCGAGGTGAAAATGGAGCGTGAGCGAGAACGGCGAGTGGCCAACAACGCCCGCGAGCGCCTGCGAGTACGGGACATCAACGAGGCATTCAAGGAGCTCGGGAGGATGTGCCAGCTGCATCTCAGCCACGACAAACCTCAGACCAAACTTCTCATCCTGCATCAAGCCGTCAACGTTATACTTAATTTAGAACAACAAGTCAGAGGTTAGTTTCTATGACGCCTGGAATTTTGTTTTTGTTTGTTTGATTGAATCCATCGCTAATGCACCATCTTTTCTCTTTTGCTCAGAGCGTAACCTCAACCCCAAGGCGGCATGTTTAAAGCGCCGTGAGGAGGAAAAGGTGTCCGGGGTGGTGGGTGATGCACCCATGCAGCTCTCAGGAGGCCACCCAAATATTGGAGGAGATGGCCACAATCCAGTTGGTCACATGTAACACCAGGTAGGATTTAACTGTTGATTTTCAGTATCATACCTTTAAGGGCCAACACATTCTGGGATGCATTTTACATAAAAACAAAATATCCTTTTTTTTTCAAAATCCTTTGGATGCTTATTCAAGTGGAAATGTGCCCTGATTCTGAATTGTATGGCAATTTAGGTTGTGCTGTCTTCAGCTTTGCTTGTTTAATGCTTTTTTTTTTTCTTTCAGATGTGGCGGTGTTTCCTTGGCTCTCGGAGGATGTGGCCTTAACAGATTTCTTCCACCCATTAACTCTCTGCGCGTGTGCGTGTGCATATGTGGACATGTCTGTCTATTGTCCATTCAAGTTTCAAGACACACACACACATTCATGCAAACTGCCAAAATGGACACAGCCTGTTTGTCGCACTCCCAACCATGACTACAAGCTCAAATGTGAAGAACGTTTTTATATATATATCTATATATATATAGATATACATATAGATATATATAGATATACATATATCTATATGTATCTATCTATATATATATTGATATGTATCTATATATCTATATATCTGTACAGAAAACTTTTTGGTTTCCATGATACAATTTGAACACCAGAATTTTTTTTTTCTTGTCCTGCCACAATTTAGGACTTTTGACACACTGCCGAGAGCTATTCTGGTGAACAAGAGAAGGGAAGAAGAAAAAAAAAATTGAATCATGGATTTGTGCCTCAATGTTACACCATGTTTTCTATTTGCCATTTAAGCAAATTGCTTTACATGTGAGGAACATTTATTGTGAGGGATTGCTTATGTGTATGAGCAATTATTTTTTAATGTATGTCATTCCCAGTGTGATGGTACAGTCTTACATATGTTATGTAACCCAGCCCATAGTTGAATTGCCTAAATTCAGTGACTTTTTTTTTTTCTTTTATCAACAATTGTTTGAGGAGGCCATAAAGTGCAAGTTGGCCATTTCTGGACAGTTCAAGTGCAGGGTTCTTCAGCAAGGACCGTTCATATCCCACAAGGCATCTGGACACACTGGATTTGAGGACTCTTAATTCCAGGAAGCATATGAATTGTCACCACTCAGCAGTTCTTCCTCATCTTTCTCCTTTTTTGGACAGCAAATTCAAATGCTAAAGAGGTTGTCGTGACTTCAGGTGTCTCTACTGCTTTGCAACTAAAGCGCACACACAAACAAGACAAAGCACAGTTGTGTAAAGCGTCCAGTTGGGTGGAAAAACAAAAGAAGCCATTTTAGGGCGCTCATGGAGAGGCAGGCGCTTCTTTGAAATGGCTCACCGACAATGCCAGCATACTTGAGGGCTATGGTTTATTTGCCCCCCCACCCCCACCCGGTTTGATACTCTGGAAAAAAGCAAGAAGTCCTTTTTTCTTTTCTTTCTTTTTTTTTTTTAATGGAGAGAACTTTTGGTCAGACATTTTGGGCGCCATGGAGGCTTTTTCCAGAAACGAGCATTCCCACTGCATTAGCGCCCCCTCGCCCTCTTCCTCTCCGAGCGAGCGAAGTGTGACGTGTACATTAACTCCGTGCGTTGCTCTTTGATGCGTTTCATTTTTCAAAAAGTTAAATATATATAAAAATATATATTTTTTGTTAGTCTATACATTGTAGATTTTTTTACATAAATGGCAATATTAGTTTGAAGTTTAGAGTGTATTGTAGATGAACTTTACGAGGGGATGTTGGTTACACACGTTGAAGCAGGGCGTCAGAGGAAAGGCAGTTGAAGGTTTTAATTCCTGCTTGAGTTGAAGAAGGCTACTTGGATGAATTCTTTCTTTACCGATTTTGGGGGGCACTGAGGATAAATGTGGAGTCGTTTTGGGTGAACAGCAATTATGCAACTGTTTCTTTGAATGTAGCCACCATACTTAATGTGGATCACCTTCATGTGTTGATGAATTTTGTTTTTCATTTCACCCTTCCCCACTGCAACACACTTCTGTTGGAGGCTAATGTCGGCCATTTTGGGGCGAGGTGATGGCTTAACAGAGAACAAATCAGTGTTATTGTGACGCTATTCCCATGTCATGTCATGTTAATGTTTCCTACCGACAAATGGCAGGTAGAGCGTTTTGTGTTAGTTTTTCGATTTTTTTTTGTGTACATGATGAAGAAAAAGACCTATACAAATCAACAGTGTGGCCTTTTCATCCTCAAGACTTAACGATGTCATAAAGGGAGAGTGATACCTTATCAGTGCCTGAACTTGTATTTTTCATTTACGTTTGTCAACCATATCATTTCATTTATTATGGAGATTAAAGAGGTACTTGTTCATTCCCCACCCTCCCTTCTCCTAAATGCTTTTTTCAATTTTTCAGGAAGAAGTTTAAAGTCATATAAAATATTTTTTTCTTTCACTGTGTCTAGTTAAAATAAAATAAATGTTACATAGATCTTGTTTTATTATTGTTGTTTTCTAACTGGAGTCCATTTGTCCAAACTGCTGTTTTATGGGTCCAAAGTTTTTCTGAACTGATGTTAACTTTTGACACACACAAGCATGCTTTTCAACATAGGGCGTTTTTTTTAAGTAGCTATTTAGAAGCTTACATGCTTTTTCTGTATCATTGTGCACATCACTGCACTGACTGCATAATCACTGCCGTTTTAACCTCTTTGTTGAACTTTCTGTGGGGGAGGAGGGGACGATCATCTTGGAATTATTTTAAGATCAACAGGCTAATTTACATTTGATGTTTCAAGATAAAAATCTTACAAGAAGACCGTAGGAAAATGGCAACGCTGCCTCCAATTGACTGGATAAGGTCATGCTTGGACTACGTTTAGTATAAGCCGTTACTTAGTTTCATTTATTTGCCTTACTTTTGAGTTTTATTAAAAGACACATGAGACAGCCCCTTGACATTTTTCTGGAGCAACGACATGACTGACTCCGGCAGGTCATCCCAAGTCCCAGAGTGCCTCTCTTGAATCTTGAGAAAGAAAAAAATATATATATAAAATAGTTGAGAACTCTCCTGTATATAACAGTACTGTAGCAATAAATGTTCCATTTTATTAACAGATTCTACCTTATTTCTTATGTCTGGATTTTGAAAATTGTGTACATTGAAAGGAAAATAAAGGAAACATAACAAAGGGACTTTTGTAGTTCTGCAATGTGTATGTATTTAAACGAAATAGTTCGTCTTATGTCCTTGAAACCATCCATTTTCGAAACTTCTTATTCTCCCGAGGTTCGCGGGCGTGCTGGAGCCTGTCTTCACCTATCTTCAGGTAGTAGGCGGGGTGCACCCTGAACTGGTTGGCAGACACTCGCACTCAAAATCACACTTTGGGACAATTTTGAGTGTTCCATTAACCTATTTGAAAGCAACATATCAGTTTTATTTTTGTACAAGCAAACAAGTGTTGACCTGAAACGACCCCGGAGACAAGCACATTTTAATCAGGCACAAACTGGGGCAGCCTGGGGTCCTTCCAAATCTGCATAAACACTTCAGTGGAGTAAAGAAATACTACAAGGAAGGTCAGAATGGTCCAGCAAATACTCAGTAAATTTGTCGGTGCTAAGAACGTCACGATCTTACGGACGTGGTACGTATAACCCATAACCGTAGTGATCTGTTGCATTGGATGTGATGTATTTATTCTTCAAGTTGAGCGAGAACACTAACGTGAACAGGGCTGTGTCCTAAGTGACCCACGTAAGCTAACTTAGCTTAGCCTTCCCGGTCACATTTGTCCTAATTTTGCCCATATAGTTTATTACCGTAATAATTTACATAATAAGAACAAACTATTTGATATAATGTAAGCCATTGTCAAATTCGATATTCGGCGTTTGTACAAGTATTACTATAAGACGTTAATGTACTGTTTTAAATGTGTCTTGCCAGATTATTGGAAGGTAGATGTGTTTTGAAATGTTTGTGGTTTATTCATCTGTCAAGACAAACAGCTGCTTCGTATGGCCTTCCTCTGTGTGTGTGTGTGTGTGTGTGTGTGTGTGTGTGTATATATATATATATATATATATATATATATATATATATATATATATATATCACACCTATCATTATAATAACAAATGTCAAACATGAGGAGTACCTTTATCACTGAATTAACCATTTGAAGAGGTATATCTTTAAATAATGTTCTGTTTTGATTGACACGGTCTAAAGCAGGGATGGTTGGGCACATTAAATGATGGAGGGTCCGCAATTTGTGTCAAGGCTGCAAATCACCCTCCAGCTGCCGCCGCGAAAGCAATGTGGGTCCTATTGATGGTATCATCTCCGACGAGCGGACGAACAATTTCTTACACAGCTCGGACGTGTTGCTTCAGAGGGCGGCAATCAAAAAAAGTTATCCCCGCATCGACATGAAACAATGCATCTTCCTGCAATATGGGTGCCGATATGGCTGTATTTTTTATTTTTTATTGATATGGGGGGGGGGGGGCGTGAAACATTCAAGCTGCAAAATTTGAACTGTGAAGTGGCGAGGGATGACTGTATTTTGTGGATATTTCCTTAAACTCTTTCCTTTTGCAAACTACAAAGCCAAAATGTAAATGTATGTTTTTTCTTGATTGTGTTCTTAATGTAGGGTACCCAATTTGGTGACATGGGGGACGGTGGGTGGTGTGACGCTTGTTTACTTCACAGACTGGCGGGTCGTCCTCGACTACGTGCCGTACATTAGGGGCAAGTTCCGCAAGGATGACTGAAGACTTTTTCAATTCAATTGTGAGTGTTTCATCAACAGTACAAAAAAAATCTTTTCCATTTTGATGATTACGCATCTGCCGAAACATTTGTAGTTCTTGTCACTGCCACTGAAGTTTATTGGACTTGAGTTTCCAGCTAAATTCAAATTTCAATTATACTATTACTATTTGCTTTCGCACAAACAAAAATAAGTGCCAGTACTCCCCTTGTTCCACTGTTGCCAGGTAAATTAGGCGGTGCGTAACAGCAGATCATTAAGTGAATGAATGAACGAACAAACAAACGAACAAACAAATAAATAAATTATGGCTAGCAAACATAAAATAAATAACTGCCCTTTTTTCTTTCTGAATTTGAAATGTCAGACTGCATTTGAATGCATCTCGTGTCTCATGCAAATTGCGAGATGTCAATGTTTACACAGTTCTTGGCATCCTAAATCAGCATTTGAATACGATTTTGGGATGGCATTGTGTTGATGTTGGTAGCACCGATGTAGTTGTGCTAAAATGTAAGCCAAAATGTCAAAAAGGTAAGTTAAGCTAGCTGCCACACCACCACGTGGGCCACATTTAAAATAAAAGCCTACTTATGTGTCAAATTGGTGTCCAAGTATTATTTGGGAAGCTTTTATTTTGAAGTTAGCCTTTATGTTGGTGGCGTATGTTGTAGTCTGGTCGCAGCTTCCGTGACATGTCTAAATGATGGCTGCGCATGCCAATTAAACTGTTACCGGAGGCAGAAAAAAAAAACACCTCTATCTTTTTATCCATTAATTTATTTAGCTATCCGAATTACTGAAGGAGTCTTATGAATATCATAAATGCAAGAGAGGAATAGGCCAAGAGGGGGAAGAACACACAAAAACAGTGTGGACATTTTTTTAATGACTTTATGAAGTGAATACGTTCACAAAATAACATGGCATATACATATATATATATATATATATATATATATATATATATTTTTTTAATCCATGTGTTTCTCGCCCCTTTATCAAATGCTTGGGGTGTCCTGTCGAATTGTGTCAAAAGGGGTCATCAAATGGCAAGGAGTAGTCCAGGTAATTACAAGCCTCCTGGTCTGCCTGGAACAGTCAGACAAGTTGGGGCAACATTGGGTTGACAGCCTCCCAAAACTCGAGTCTTCAAAATAAAAGTGCATCGTATGGTAACTGTTTCACCACACTATTTGGCCCTGTAGGGGCTTATTTAACTGGCACATTGAGTGATGCTTGACTGTTAAAGAAGCCACCATGTAACCCAAAAAAATGTGGTGAAGCTGTTATTGTACTGCATACTTTTATTTTGAAGGTCCAGGTTTTGTTCAAAAACTTGTATGCAATTTCATCTAAAAACCTCTACTTCCCAATATTATTTTAAATGAATAAAAATAAAGGATTTGAAGCTCCATGTTTTGGTATTTTCAAATGAGGTAACTGCCGTACATTCGTAAACATAATTACAATCTCTACTCTGTTTGTTGTCCTGATTGTGGGAAAAGGAGACATGCATTTTTTTAAAATTAAAAACAGTTTCCACTCCAGGTCTCTTTGATAAAGATCTGATGTATATGTATTTATTGATTTATTTTTTTAATAAACAAAGGATAAACAATTACATGACCCTTAAAATCCACCAGTCACACTCTGGCTCAAATAATTTGGTCTTGGGAGAGCAGTTCTGTTTTGTGCAAATGCCAACTTGAGTTTTCAGTAGCCCAGCAACCGTGTCCATTTTTTCCGACCCCTCGTAACGGCTTTTTGCCCCCTCGAAGTGACGAGCAACAAATTGAACCACTTTTTGTGGTGTGTGTTGGGAGACTTCTGGAGAAGCTGAGACATCCTCAGTATCTGTGTCCAGACTGCGAATGAATGGCACATGCACAAAGCCATCACTGCTTCATTTAACCAGATTGGTATCTACTTAGTTATATTTATTGTTTAGTTTCACACCTCGTGGGTGAGGAGGAACTCTGGAGAACCAACTATTTGTATTCCAACCATACCATTCAAAACTTTCTATAATACAGTGGTGTCTTGAGATACAAATTAAATTCTTGCTGAATTTGACTAAAAACATAAAACACATCCCCACTGAAATCAGTGTAAATGCCATGAATCCATTCCAGCCCCCCGCCCACAAAAAATTGTTGCTGTATGTTTTTGATGAGTTGATAGCCCTCTATAATGTTCTACTTAATCAAAACACACCGTGGTGACATCTTTGAATAGAATTAAAAAGTACTAAGCAGTGTTTGTCAAAGTTTGATTGAATACAATGCATGTGGTTCTGCTCATTTTGGCGTGTGTACGTGTGTGTGTGGCCATTGGGGGGGGGAGGGTGAAAACCAATTCATACATACTTATTTCCCTGCCTGAATGCAGCAGCCAATCATATTCCAGTGGGGCGTGTCCTGACTAGAACTCAAAGTGGGATTCATATTGTCATTCTTCGCAGAAGATAAATACAGTATATGACTAAGTACTGATCTTTTGTCTGTTTACATCTGTTGCTGCAGCCGTTGTGTTCACATAACAGCCACGTAAATGCCGATCGTTGCTGTTCGCATTGGCCTTGAGCCGCAAGAAAATTCATAATCTGGGTCACTCGTATCTCGAGGCACCACTCTATGTCCCGTTTTAGTGGACGCACAAACACGGTATGTACATTTCACTGGTTTCACTTTATTCACCACTCTTATTGCACCAAGACACTTTATGGGAGAGTTGTGTGTGTATGTGTGTACATGGTATAATGTTGCTAATGTGTGCCTTGCAGGAGCAGAGCGTATATCCGTGGGCTGGGTGGACAAGAGTGGACTTGCTTCTACTTGGCCACTTAAAAATGGGATGATGATGATAATGTCCAAGTACTGCAGGGACTTGTTAGGATGAATTCTGTATAATTTTAAAAAAAGCGTTTTGATCCATGACTATTTAATCTGAATAAATCTTTAAATGTGCCATTGTGAGTCTGCTTTTTCATTACGAAGCCTAGCTTCGTGCATGAACAAAAATACAGATGTCATTTACATGCTTCCACGTTTTTTGTCAGTCACATAGGTGGGCTGATAAGGGTAGCGCCCCCCACGCCTCCGACACAATAGTCACGTTATCACGCAGACGGCGAAATTTGCGTGGATAATTTCTGGAGTGGTCGAGGGGGAGGGGAAGGGGACTGACAGACAGACAGGATTTAATACAGCGAGAGGAACAAAACCACAGTGTCTTCAAGATGGATAAAAACGAGTAAGTACGCAACGTACAAGCCGTTTAAAGCCTCCGTGAACGTTTCGCAAAGGACTCGGTGTCGTAGAACGTGCATAATGTACCTTTAGTCAGAAAGAAATACCAGTAAATAGCAATGTTTATCATCGATACGGCGACGAGCGTTCGCGTTTTGCGTGTTTGTATGTGCAAGTAGCAATGCAACGGTGTGTTCGCTCACGTCTGTTTGGCACCTTTTGCAATGTCGCTGTTAAATCTCTTTCATGTTTGCAATTAGCGTTGAGTCGCAACGGCGCGTCGAAATTGTGCCATTTTGACAGATCTGCATCTGATAACCCTGCTCAGCAAATCCCCCCCCAGCTCGGACATCCTCTTTCAAGGTGCTCGTGCACTATTTGTTTTTGCCCGGCAAAAACCGAAACATACAGCGCGCGTCCGATTGAAAAGATCCGCTTTGTTCATTCATAATTTGAAGGCGAAAAAAAGGAGAGTGACAACGGTCGGCATTGTGGTGAAATGGCTCTCCGATTTCATGTAACCGACGTGAAACTTGAGAGCTGAGGTGGGCATCGAAACAGTGATATTTAACAACACTTGTTGCAATTATTTGACGTTAAACGCGCGGGATTTGTCTTCCCTGCGCCTTCAGCGTGAATATTTACGTCTATTTTGAGCAATAGACATCATTAATGTTGCTTTCGGTTAACATTATAGCTACCTGACACCAACATCAAGGTGAACAATGGTGATGGTGGTATTTCCGGAAATGTTTTTTCAGAATAAACTAGGGCATTGTGGAATTTCTATCATCCATTATCCAAAAACCCCCATAGTTTTTACATTGTGTATAGTAACTGCAAAACGCGTAGATGAGATTTTTTTCCACAATATTACCATCGTTGATACAAATAAGTAAAATAAATCAATTAAATATTATTTTGTATTCTGTTTTGCTGCACATACCATGTTTTCCTTACTTTAGTAACACCTCTATAACGCGGTTCATTTTTGACAGAGTCTTTATAGCACAGATTTTTTTTTGCTCCGTCACAGAGTTTGGGGCGATTATTTTTCAAATTAGCTTTTGTTTTGAAATCGGTTATGTTTTCGTTTCCTGTCAATTTCCTTCTTCATACCGGAGCCGAAACATCCTTGGCTCGGCTTGTGTTCTCTTGTTTTCCTCGCGGATGTAGCTCCTCGCTGGGGCCCGTGGAGAGCCGGGCGGGAGGAGGGGTAGTGATGTGGCCGCGAGGACCGAGGCGGAGCGATCTGCGCGATTACAAAGAACACCGAGACCTTAGCTTCCGAACTAGCCCGGGCCAGCTCGCGTTCGGTGGCTCGGCGCGTGTTCGTGCTATGTTCGACGCTAGGCTAGCAACAGAATTTTTTTTTTCTAAAACTGCTAAGTCGATATATACTCGTGCGCGAGAATGGAGAAGAAAAGGTGGGATTGTACTGCTCTTCCCAAGGGCTGGAAAATGGAAGAAGTGACCAGAAAGTCGGGTTTGTCCGCCGGAAAAAGCGACGTCTATTATTTTAGGTACTTATCCGAGCTGTGCTTCGACTTCTCAACTTATAAGTGTGTGTGGCAGCGTGTTCGCGGATGGATACAGGCAGGACTACTTTGTTTAGATGGGGAGTCGGGGTGTAAAGTCTGCGTCGGCGGCTATAAAGACTAGCGACGTGCCCGTTCAGTTGACGTCGGTTAACACTCCTCATTCCCGCCTGCCCTTCCCTTTCACCTGAAGTGAACCAACAACGGCAGAATTGTGTTCTCCTTTAGCAGAGGGGACGAGCCAGATGAGGAACAGAGGCAAGAGAGGGGGGAGGCGGGTCGGTTGTATAGTTTGTGGTAGGCCCAACACCATGTCTAACCTCTTCTGTATCCTGTATTGTGTGATGTAAGACGCATTGTGTGCATGAGTGACGTGCACGGTCAGGTTCGATTGTACAGTCTTAATTCTCATGTTCAACCTACGAGGTGTGTCAGAGAAGTTCCAGACCCGGTGTCCCAAAAGATATCCAGTAGTTCAATTGCAAACCACAAGCTTCCCCTTTGGAAATAATACCCTGCACTGTAACACTTTCCCAGTCTTTTCATGCACTCCTGGATTCCGGGATTCTTCCCAGCGCGGTTATCATGGCCATCTTGATGTTATCCTGGTGACCCTTGATGACTCCCTTGAGTTTGAGAAAGAGAGAAAAAAGTCACACAATGCCACGTAGGTTCAGTAGAGCAGTTGCTACACCACACTGACATTTTTCTTGGCCAGGATCTGTCAGATGCTCATGCTCATTGTGGTCAAGCAGCCATGGGTTGTCCTGCCACAACTCTCATCTTCTTGCCCACTGACAGAGCAAATGCTAGACACTCTCTCGATAGACATTATAATTGATTATTTAACTGCAAATACCCCATTACTGAATTTTAACTTTGATTGCCTTGCTTTCTTTGACCTTGGTGACGTCAGATTCTTCCACTGAAGGCTCTGGTGTTAAGTCTCTGGCACATACTCGAAGACCAATAACTTGTCACCCTTTATGAGTCTCCCGAGGAATTCAGGTCTCATTGTCATTCACTCTTCTAATTGCTTGTCAAACTGACACAGAAGGTGTGTATATTTAAGCATGTGGAGTGAGGAAGCTGATGACATAGTTCGAGACTGATCTGAAGGCATTGATGTGGAAAACAAGTAGTTTCTGTTTGTTTTTTGAGACACCAGTCCTGGAACTTTCCTGAGACACATAGTGAGTTGTCGCTCCCACGTGCGGAGCCACAACCAGTTCCATTCTTTTTTTTGAAACATTTGCCACCCCGCCCCTGCCAAAAAAAAAAAAATCGGTGAACGTTGATGTGCAGTGGCCATTAGAAGTGACATGATAATTTTGAAATGCATTGTGAGTGCAGGGTTTCAATCCATCCATTGAGAAGTTTGTGCTTGTTGCATGTCGTGTGTCTGTACATTCGCCGCTTCCCGCCTTTGAATGTTCAATGTAAAGACGTGTCACCTTTACAAAGATCCTCATGGCTTTTCTTCTCTGCCGCCTTGCTTAGTCCATCTGGCAAGAAGTTCCGGAGCAAGCCTCAGCTGGCTCGTTACCTCGGCAACCAGATGGACCTGAGCTCATTCGACTTCCGCACAGGGAAGATGCTGATGAGCAAGCTGAACAAGAACCGCCAGCGGATGCGCTATGACAACAACAACCAGAACAAGGTGAGCCAACTCAGAAGCTTTCCTGTGTCCGGCAAGCCAAAAGCCGCCGCATTCCCGGTAAAATAAGCCAAGTCCTAGTTTGCATAACCAATGCAGGTTGCCCCATAAGGATGCACTGATTTTTAACACTGTAATTCATTTTTAACTAGTGGGAGATTCCGTACATGATGGCTGAAAAATCCAACGCTTGAAATAACTTTTTTTTTTTTTTTTTTTGCAGAGCAGTTTTGCTGCTCATGGACTTAATTTGAGGAGCGATGCTCTTAATTTTGAGGAGTAATTTTCTGTACGTCTTAATATATAACAGTTTCTGTGTCTTGGATTGCAAAAAACTATTTTCTTGTCAAACATTTTTAATGGAGCAATTTTAAGTGCAAATATTATTCAAAATTTTGTAATTATAGGATCGTCTCGTTAGTTCAGTTATTGGAAAAAAAAATCTGTGACCCTCAATTTTACAATTCACTCTTTTAATGAGGCGCAAAATGCGATTTGGGCCTGCAAAAACTGAGATGTGAAACTGTTTATTTTGAGCCTTGAAATCAGAGTATGTTCTTCATGCTCTTTATGGTGTGTGGTGTGTTATGTGTACTGGAGATGACCAAGCACACCACACACAATGATATCCACACAACATGGTGATACTCGTCAAAACCTAGTGTTGGTAAGTACCAAGACTGACCTGTGAGAGGCAGCACAGTGTCACAGAGCATCCAGACTGCTGGAAAAGACAAAGAAGAGAAAAGATTATGTTGGATGAGGTTTAACCCGTACAATTGTCTGCTCGACTGTTTTAAGGGTAAACCCGACCTCAACACATCACTTCCAGTCAGACAGACAGCCTCCATCTTTAAGCAGCCTGTTACCAAGGTTACCAACCATCCCAGCAACAAAGTCAAGACAGATCCACAGAAAGCTGTGGACCAGCCCCGTCAGGTGAAGGTCTTTTCCGAGACCGAATTTGCATTTCATGGTTCAACGTGGGCAGTTCACTTACTTTTTTTTGTGTTTCTAGCTATTTTGGGAGAAGAAGCTAAGCGGTCTGAGTGCATACGACATTGCAGAAGAGTTGGTGAAAACGATGGAGCTGCCTAAAGGTCTCCAAGGTTTGTGGACTTCATTGACATCCGCTGTTGGTGTTTCACAAGGCTCTGTACTTGGTCTACAGATTTTTACATGATCATTTTTGGAGTAAATGTCACAATCGCTTGCAATTACAGTATAAAACTGGGGGTATTCCACAAGGATCACCAAAATGGTTTAATGATAATTCAAGCACACGTTTAGACCCTTTCCCAACTTCTGCGCTGCTACAGGTGTGGGACCAGGTTGCACAGACAAGACACTTTTGTCGGCCATCGCCAGTGCGCTCCACACCAGCGCCGCACCCATCACCGGACAGCTGTCGGCTGCCGTGGAGAAGAACCCGGGCGTATGGCTCAACACCACGCAGCCGCTTTGCAAGGCCTTTATTGTCACCGATGAGGACATCAGGTTAGGCGGTCACCATAATTATGCACTTGGAACAATCTTGTCACACTAGTGTAAAAGTTGCTCACAATTGTCAACGATAGTACAAGTTATACTGTATTTTAAGCACAAGCGAGCTTTAGACATTTGAAAAAAAAAGCAGTTTATTTCCTTACATAGAGTTATGCAGGGAAAAAAGTAGTGTCTTCAGTGGCCTGGAATTGATTCATTTCATTTCAATGGGGAAACCAAATTAACTCATAAGTAGCTACCACTGTATTGATGAAGGCGACATAAAATTGCGCATCGGATTTGTATGTGCTGACACTTTCTGTGGGCTGTTGTCTCCCAGGAAGCAGGAGGAGCTGGTATACAGCGTGAGGAAGCGTCTGGAGGAAGCGCTAATGGCTGACATGTTAGCGCATGTAGAGGAAGCGGCGGCCGGCGAGGCCGACTCCATCAAGGATGAAGGCAATGGCAGCGAAGACATGGAGAGCGTATAGCGCAAGTGCCGCGAGCCCAGGCGGCAACTTGTATCTTTTTCCCAGGTCTTCATCTTCTTCATGGACATTGGACAAGCCCTGCCTTTATCCTGACGAGCCTTTCCCTGCATCTCCGCCCCTCACATAAGCAGACTAATTCAACTGTGGTGTCCGTTATGGCCACTGGAGGGCAGCAACACGTGAAATTGATCCCTTAACCAAAACAGGAAGTGACATAATCCAGAACTTTTCACAGCAGAAATGTCACATTCAGTGTTGGATGAACGTTTTTACATCAAATTATTATTTTTTTCTTTCCTCCTTGGAAGTCGTGTCAATGAAATGTTTGGGTGCTTACTAAAATTTAAGAAAATTGTAAAGATGATGCATTTCTTTGCCATTTTAAATTTTAACCGTGCCCTGTGTGCACCATAAAATGAGGCAGCGGTTAACTAAAAGTTGTCGCACGGTCATCAGTGTTGGCATCATCATGCTTGTACAAAATTTTGTGCTTGTGTGTTTTTTAAACATAAATGTCATGGTGGCCACATACACAACTGGTGTCAAAATTACGGTTGATACCGTTTGTAATGTCACTAATATTTGATGGGATGATGTTCTGTTTGTTTTTTTAAAGGCTATTTTGTTGATGTTTAAATTTTTAAAAAATATTAATTCATGCTGGAAATTGTCTGTTAATATCAACAGGCTAGATGCTGAAAAAAATTGATTGTATTGCTGAATAAAAGTCACTATGCCGTGAAGTCCACTGTTGTTGTTTTTATTTAATAGTGACTTGAAATTACAAAATGATTTTTTTTACATTTAGTGCAATAACCTTTGGTTTAGATTTTCTCTTGCTCAGTGTTCAATTCCCACTCTAATAGCGTGAATGTGGTGGTTGAGAGGCGATAGTTGAGAAACGTGGGAGAATTGTTTAAAAAAAAAAAGGGGGGGGGCTTATAAATCAAAATAATTACATTTTTGCGCACTTTCACGTTTCGTGTTGTGAAAGTATGTGCTGATGACTCCACAGGTTTGTCACCTGCTAGATATTGACGTAACAAGTCAATTCCTATCCAATCAGCTGCAGATTCACCTTCACTGCGTGTGTGTTTTAAAGTGGACAAAGTGCACAAAGTGCAGTGGGACGTTTTCCTTGGTGGAAGATCTTGCTTGTGTGGATGCCGTGTTCGTCTTCTCGGATGCCTTTGTACTAAGTGTGGAATATGGCAACGCTGCAGCTGTACACCAAGGTAGGACTACTGTGTTGAATTCCAATTATATGTATTTTAAATAATTTAGAGCTCTTAAATATCAGGTAATTCTTTACGTTTTGTTTTAAAACAAGATGATTTCTTTTCAATCTCAGCCCTCCCAGAAATACGGCTGTGGATGGTTGTAATTCAAATAGGTATTATTTCTAAACGTTGATTTTGATCGCTGATTATTTTTTTCTTTTCGTTTTCTCACCTGTTGGTAAGTTACCAGCTAATATACTACAAGTCCCAGAATGCTTTGCAGAAGCCGAGGCACCATTGAACCAAAGCTATCCCTGACGCCTTTGTGAGCCGGGCAGAATAGACCCTCTTTTGCGCTATTGTCGCTGGTTTAAATAAAGTTTAGGGGATATTTTGTGACAGAGGGTTCCTTCATGTTCACTCTGAACCCCAATTATGTATGTTAAAAGCGTGAAATACTTCGCTCGAAGTTGCTAGCTTAGCATGTGAAGACTGAGTATGGAAGACGAAAAGGGACACCTAGGACACATCGGACACATTTGTAATGGTGCAAATAGATAAGGTAAATTGGGAATTGTAGGATATATGGTCATTAGTGTAGAACAGTACGCATTATTTACTCACTTATGAGTGAGTTTTAAGTTAGGTAAAAATTTGAAGAAAGATAAGAACATTACCATGCTGATCATCTTAAACACAAAATGGTCTACTGTTTGGACTTTGGAACCTCCTGAAGTCAATGATCCAGCTATATACATATACGTAATTTCAGACAATAAATACTGCGAACCAACTCAACCAATTCATTTTGCGAGTGACTTTGTAATGTGTAATTCAAATGTGTTTACTTCAGGTGAAGATGAAATGATACAATTGCGCGTGTTCTCAAATATAGTGCTTCATTCATACACATATCACACTATAGTTATGCAGAATGGATAATCCACGTAGTCTTTTAAAGTGGGATGGTCAGTGTTAATTTTTAACACTTTTAAGAGCTTTTTATGCTGATGGCTGTCAAATGCCTCATAAAGGTGAGGCCAGGAAGCAATGTTAGTGCAATCAAATAAAAATCAGTCTGAGTATTACTGTTTTGGCTCACATCTTGGATTTTTTTTCACCAAGGGGGCCAGCGTATGGACTCCTGACCCGGATGCAGTGTGGGTGTCGGCCCAGCTCCTCCAGGACTACACACCCGGTGACAAGCATGTGTTGCTGCAACTATCTGGAGGGAAGGTGAGACAATATAACAAAATACAAATTTTAAACTGAAAACCTCCATCAAAACTAAGCTAAATGTCCTCTCCATTGGCAGGAGACACTTTATCCGGTGGAGGTCCCGTCTGACCTTCCTCCACTGGCTAACCCTGACATCTCAGAGGGCGAGAATGACCTGTCGGCGCTCAGCTTCCTCCATGAGCCTGCCATCCTGCACAACCTCCGCGTTCGATTCCTGGACTACAACAGCATCTATACTCACTGTGGTAAGCAAGTGATGCCATATGGACAAAACGTGTTGGAATTTACATATGTCTTTATCTCATCGTTGATCAGAGGTTGGGCCTTTTACTCTTAATTCTATGGTTGTATCGTGGGTACAGTTTGCGAAGACCATTTTCTGGTCGTACGAGTTTGGTGAGGGTGACAATTAAGTGGATAAATTTATAATTGTTGTTAGGTATTGTGCTGGTGGCTGTCAATCCCTACGATGAGCTCCCCATCTACGGCGAGGAGGTGATCGATGCCTACAGCGGTCAGGACATGGCCGACCTGGAACCGCACATCTTCTCTGTGGCCGGGAACGCTTACCGCACCATGATCAGGTTAGCCTTGACTCAAGCTCTCTTTCTTTTCTCTATTTGCTGGTTTCGGTCATGTGCATTTCCTTTCGCAGAGAGGAGAACAATCAGTCGATCATCATCAGTGGCGAGTCTGGTTCGGGCAAGACGGTCTCGGCCAAATTCACCATGAGGTACTTTGCGGTGGTGGGAGGAGCCACTCAGCAGACTAAGGTGGAGGACAAGGTGCTGGCCTCCAACCCTATCATGGAGGTAATGGAGGAAAACAAAAGTTTCTACTGCTACTATGTATAGCATCAATAGATACTGCTTATTTAATCAACAGTGGCCGAATTTTACTACCTACAATACACCTAGCCGCCACTAGGGGCACCATATTCTTCTCTTTTTGATTAAAAAGGCTGAAAGAGTCGAAAAACCGCTGAAAATCTCTTTGTGCCAATGAAACACATGATATGTGCAGGCCATCGGAAATGCCAAAACCACAAGGAACGACAACAGCAGTCGGTTTGGGAAGTACATCCAGATTGGCTTTGGCAGGAGAGGAGACATCATCGGGGCCAATATGAACACCTACCTTCTGGAGAAGTCCAGGGTGGTCTTCCAGGTATTTGTGGCAATATTTTCGTTCTGACTGCAGTAAACCACCTCGAAAAAGTTTATGATGGCATATAGTTGCCACAAGATGGCTGCAAAATATGATGACTCTGTCAGACACGATGATGGCCAGTCTAAATGACGGTCCTTCCCTCATTTCAAAAATAGTTCTTTGACACGAAGATGCCACAAGATGGCGCTAGCGGAAAACCTTTCTGGTCGAGCTTTTGCCTCCTCACAAAAAGAGGAAAAAGGGTGACTTATTTTTTTTTCGGTGTGTGTGAATTAAAGGAAAGGTTTTCCTTCCACCCCCCCCCCAAAAAAAAAATCATTGAATAGGTGACTCCACATGTAGCCTAATCACAAAAATGCAGGCGTACACTATCTTCTGTCTGAGCCTCCTTGTGATCACAAACATACAATTGTTTACAGTTACTTGCAACACATTGAACAATAATAACCTGGGACAATGCTGTTTCACCATGTCTGAAGACAATATTGTCAAAAATTGTGGCTACAATCAATTAAATGTAACATAGATGGCTGGATACTCATTTTAATGTCTGATGTGCTGTTTTTAAAGATCCATTTCGTATTCTTGTGTTTTCGACCACATATACAACAATTTGACTTTCATTATTAAAACATCATAGGCACAACAACATGCATTCTTTCTCCTGTCAGCCACTAGTATCAGTGGTTTTGACTACTTTTTAGAAGGTGGATTTTTGCCTACAACCTAATTAAAAACAAAAAGAAATTGGCATCCATTAGACATGCTGCCACACACAGTAGAGAAAGGACAAGGAAACTGCCGAAACAACCAAGTAACTAATTGAATAACCAATCACTGCTATATGTTGAATATCAAACTTGTTTCATTTCCGTTAGGCAGCAGCAGAGAGGAACTACCATATCTTCTACCAGCTGTGTGCTGCAAGACAGTTGCCTGAAATGAGAGCACTCAAACTGGGTGAGACGTGAACCACCTCATGGGCGCACACAAACAATAGCTTACAGTAAATACAAAAATGACAATTTAGTGCATAATGTGCTACATGTTTTAAGGCAAAGACATTATTATCTGATCACATGTAGCAATCTCTTGATGCAAATGTCAGAAAGATGATTATTATGCATTTTTTTCATAGTGTATTTATTGACCTACTTTCATCTAGCTGCTCCTGAACATTTCCGCTACACAAACCAGGGAGGAGATGCAAATATTGCTGGGACCGATGATGTGATGGAAATGGAGCGCACCCGCAATGCTTTCACCATCCTGGGTAGGATGTAGTTTTATGAGATACACACACACACGAAAGATACATTTGGTCAATATTGTATTTTTCTGTTGAAATTGCAGGCGTGCTTCCCGACCAGCAAATGGAGCTCTTCAGAATCCTGGCAGCAGTTCTCCATTTAGGAAATGTGAAGATTTCAGGCAGCGGCCGAACTTCTGACCGTTCTTACATCGACGTGAGTTAAAATCATTAATATTCCATTTGTCTTTCTAGTTTTGTTCTTGTCAGGAAAGAGCAGACAAATGGAATGCATTGTATAATATCTTGTGATTAATCATCATACTGCACAAAAGAAGAAAAAAAAAATCAATTAAAATGTGTGAAAATATCAACATATTTAAGAAGAAATTATCAAGCGGTGTCTTATTACATGTCTTCCTCCAGGCAGATGACGTTTCGATGGCTATCTTCTCCAAGCTTTTGGGGGTGGAGTCTGCCCACATGGCCCATTGGCTGTGCCATCGCAGGTTGGTGCTAGCAGGTGAGAAGCTGGTCAAGCCCATGACTGGTCAGCAGGCCATCGAAGCTCGAGATGCTCTGGCCAAGCATATCTACGAGCAGATGTTCAAGTGGACCGTGCACAGACTCAACTCTGCCCTGCGCAGCCAGACCGGCCGTGCCAAAACCTTCATAGGGGTGCTGGACATCTATGGGTGAGCTGTATCTGTGTGCGATTATAATTCTCACCATAAACTCACAAGTGTTCCTCAATGTGCAGCTTTGAGACCTTTGAGCGGAACAGCTTTGAGCAGTTCTGTATCAACTACGCCAATGAAAAACTGCAACAGCAGTTCAACAGGGTGAGTCGTGTGACACCTCATGT